ATTATCTTTTTTGGAGTGATCTTTTTCATTTTTGTGTATTTACTTGTTTCCTCTGTTTTCATGAAAATTAATTATTCAAATGAAGCTTTTGATATGCTGATGGCTTTAGATGCCTATCACTAAATTTATTCACAGGCTGTAAATCTTTATGGGGACAAAAATAGGAAGTGATTTACTTTCAACATCCTTCTACTGAAAACATGAAAATCAGAATTTCAGAAAGTTTTTGTAAGATTAGTAGATGTGAATTACAAAATATATTAAATATCTTTCTTAAAAGAATAGATTCCTATATATGCCAAGAAGATAACATTTTCAGCATCTAATTTAAATAACTTTTCAAATGTACTTTCATCATTACTGTCATGTTTCTGCCATGTAAAGCTTTTTGATAAATAAACTGATAAACTTAATTCACAACATAAAAAACTTTCAGGAAAAAGAGAAATCAGAATTCTAGAAGAAACTGGCTGGTATCTTAAAAATTGTTAGATTTAAGAAAATATGATCTATTCAAAAAGTTGTTTATTTGTCACAATCTATCCATATAATGGCTCAAAATCACTTCTTATAATTTAAAAAAAATTTTATTTTGTTCTGCATTCCAAAAACTGGTGATTTTCAAGATCCAGTCACCAAAAATTGTCGTCTGGTCTATAAACTTTAAATTTTTAAACTACAAATTTTAAACTTTTGTTTACCTGCACCAAATTTGATAACACAAATACCTGCTAAAAGTTTTGACATATTTAATAATTTTATTTTATCAAAAAACATGAAAATAATTTATAACAGTGTTATTATTTATCTGTAAAAATGTTTATAAAGAATTTAATTTAAAAAATTAGTTAATGAAATTACTAGAAAATTAAATTTATTCATGAAATTATGAATTTAAAGGTATATATATGTTACCGCTAAAGCTCGAAAGTCGTTAATGCGTACATTACCTAGCTAATCTGCAGATTAACTAGGGTGATCCGTTAAAGTTGCTAAAATTGTTCCATTTCTCAAATTACCTAGATAGCTTCTTGATAAAAAGCAAGTGCTTTTTATCAAGAAGCTATACAATTTTGGCGTGAGTTTTATTTATTTATCTATTTCTACCTAGATAATGTGCAGAGTATCTAGGTTATCTGCACATTACCTACTAGGCACTCGGTAAAGTGAAAATAAGATCTTTGCCACAAATAAGTGTGCTTGTCACAAAAACAAATTGCTATGAAATTCAAAGTGTCACCAATCTTTAGACAGCACTAATTAATAAGCACAATTAGATAATGTTACCTATGGTGAGTAAAATGGCGGCTCGTCTCTGATTCCAGCAAAGAGAAGAAAAGAAACAGTGGGGATGCATGTTCAAACCTAACCTAACCTAACCTATTCTAATAATTTGTTGGTAATAATTATGGTAATTTATTAGAATAGGTTAGGTTAGGTTAGAACGTGTGTCCCCACTGTTTCCTTTCTTCTTTTTGCTGGAATCAGAGATGAGCCGCCATTTTACTCACCATAGGTAACATTAACTGCACAATTATATCATGCAATCACCAGAAAAAGTATGATAACTTTATTATTTTTCGTCTCCAGTCCAAAAGTAGGGTATCGTTGAAGTCGTCTCGGTCCCCTCAGTTCAGATAGATACTCAAAGTCCCGAAATTCCATAGGTGGTTATCTATATAATAATTTCCCTAATTGTATTAATATTTTAAACCGTTTGATTTTTTGTATGTTTTTTAATTGGTTGATGATTGATTCTATTAACTAATTTTTTGATTGATTGTATTAACTTGATTCTTTAGATATTGAAAATTAAATAAAGAACATTATGTTAATTTAAGTGTACAGAAACGTTGCTGTTGTTCCAGCAAAGATCTTATTTTCACTTTACCGAGTACCTAGTAGGTAATTTGCAGATTACCTAGATAATCTGCACATTACCTAGGTAATTTGAGAAATAGAACAATTTTAGCAACTTTAACGGATCACCCCAGTTAATCTGCAGATTAGCTAGGTAATGTACACATTCACGACTTTCGAGCTTTAGCGGTAACATATATAAATATACATCTTTCAATTATACCCTACCTCGGCATGCAAAATGTTACATGCCGAGGCTACTCCGCTGCAAGAATTGTTATTTCCTACTGGACAGAAAGGAAGGAGGGCACTTTTAGAGTTTGTCTGTAGGAAATTTTGTAATTTTTCCAAATAGATGTAAGTAAATATATATATTAATAATCTGAAAATATCGATTTTTAATACTCTATATTTCAATCTTTTACATTTTTGCAAATATCAAAAAGTCATATAATTTTTATTCTCACAGATAAAATATTAAAATATGATGGTATTTTCATAACTTTGTGTTTATCTTTAACTTCTGCTTTTGTTAATTAGGTAATCTTATTCCTAATGTTGTAATTAATTAGTAAAATTAAATAAAAATGTTAGTTTTTGATAAAATGGTGTAATTATTACAAGAAAAAGCCAACATTGTAATGAAGTACTTATACAGTGTCTAATAAACTATGACCAGATTAAAAAATTTCATGTACTGTACTTTGTTAGATGATTCAGACTGATATTAACTGAACATATCAGAAATATTTATCATTATAAATTACTAAAGTGGAAAAACAAGGAGAATTGCTATGCCTGTGTAATTTAAAATTATAGACTAAATTAGAAATTGTGATGACTAAATTAACAATTTATGACCTTTATAAATAAAATTTAAAAATTTTTGAAGATTTTGAGTTAAATTCAAATAAGTATCTATACATATATATACACATTTAAATGAATTTTCCATAACTGTTAAATTTAATCATCAAAATTTTCATACTTTTAAATTGCTTAATGAACATGTTTATGAACAAAAGTTATTTATAAAATTCCATCAAGTCTGATATTGGCACAGTTTGGCCAAAATGGCTCTTCTGCCAATAAAAATCAACTAACAAACCTACTCTGATATCAACAAAAATGCTTATCTACAACTAAGTTTATTTACATTTATTCCAAATATCACTCTTTGCAATTAAAGAATTAATCTATAGAAATCCTATGACATAAAATATTTTGATATTTAAAGAAAATTATTTTAGATCTTGGTTGCTTGCTGTTCTCTTTACTATATGTATTTTCTTAGCATAACGTTGCCGTTGAGAACAAATCACACATATTTGTTCTCAACGGCAACCTTATGCTAAGAAAATACAAAATTATTTTAGTTTATCTTTTGTCTGTGACCATAATTAAATATACAGTAGATAAATACAGAAATTTTACTGTATTATTATCAAATCTTAAATTTTACTCTATTAACCAAAGAAAAGAAAATAAAAAATATCCTATACTATTGGAAATGTAATGTATATATGTAAGAATTATATATCTATATAAATAGATAGATAAGAGATATACATACATATATAGAGACTGATAGAGATATACATATATATATATCTCTATCAGTTAAATTCTTAAATTGATATATCCAGTCTAATAAATGTACAAATACAAATATTTAATTTCTTCATAGTTTATATTTATTCATGTTTTTTAAAATCATATAAAAATATCCTTAATGTAATGAATTAAAATTCTTACAAGAAATTAGTACTTAATAATATGAAGAATTATCCATATCTAAAATAATAAACTGTATAAGATAATAATATAACTGTGTAAGATAATAAAAATAAATTATCATTATTTTACATTTTTAAACATCACTTAATTTCTTAACATTGAATAAACTTAATTTTAGGAGTATATTGACCTTGACCTAATTTTTGGGTCAAATACAGTAAGAATTAAATTTTTAAATTCTTGACGATAATGGAAAATGCACCATAAATCATCAGCTATATCAACATTATGCTCATCATAAAAAATAAAAGACAGTTATTTCTCAAATATTTTAAAGTCACACAAGAGTTATTTCACTCATACATTTCTCATATTACTCTATAATCTTGCAATTTTAATTTTTCTCCATATTAAAAAAAAATAATAATAACGATTACTCAATCTTATGCACGATAACAAGGTCATCCAAGCAGTCATTCTTGAAATAATTGACGTACAGGCATCTCTTTTGACACCACACTTTTCTAGAAATTATTATTCAAATACCTTTCAGAAATATACGATATACATAATCTCCGTAAATTGCCGACATTATCGAAAACATACAAAAATCAAACTAAAACGTGTTATTTTAGACATACTTCGGATTTTCGTTCGCAAACCGACGTATACTCACCTAACAAATTTAGACTTACAAATGATTCATTCATCCCTATTGTAGATTCACGATAAGTTAAGTCATTACACGAAAAATATCCCAAGAGACATAATAATTATATCGAATAGAACAGAAAAGTACGAAAAACTTTGATATATGATTTTAATAAAGTAGCATATTAATAATAATCAATGATTTAAACACCTGTGCGTACAACAAGCGAATATTTCGCGTCGGTTGATATCGTACCAAACAATCACTCCGATATTAACTATTTAATTCATTTTTAACATAAAAGATTAATGACTAAACACTTGGTAATCTACTGTATTTTTGAAAAGAGTGTTTGTTTACTTATCTCTGCTACTATTTATTGTTAATGTGTTTTATTGTTTCTCCTAATACAAGTTCGATTTTAAACAAATTTCGTAATACCCCGATCATGTAGCTGGCATGTTTGTTTATTTTCCCAACGGAGAGAATGTTTATGATAATTTCCTCACCTATCCATGATGTTATGTTTACTCTTACGGCGCACGTGTTTCTCTTTAGATAACAAAGACAACACCCTACGTCGTAAACAAAAAGAATAGAAAAAAAAAAGTTTTTATTCTTTTTCCTTTAATCGATTACTTGTCTAATTTTGAGAATTTTATGAAATAATAACATTAAAAATTAATAAAAGTGCTTATTGGATTAACAACCGAATCCTTATACTGTCATATTTTGTTATATTGTTACTTACCGAAATCTGATTGAACGATTCTAAATATGGATTCGAGTAATAATACAATGAAATGTTACTCTTTATCTTGTTCCCGATCGCCATAACGATCATGACGTAATGCTAGTGACGTAACCTTTGCTTAACATAGACATCGAATTTAATATTTAAAAAAGATAATTATTTCGGTACTTTGATTTATTATTTAGCTCTTTTATTATTATTATTATTATTATTAAGAGAACAACAAGAGAAAAAAAATTTATTACTTTATTTTTAGCTCAGTATTATTACTTGAATAGAAATTTAAAATTGAATTCTCTTTTTTTAAAAAAAAAAATGTGGCCACCAGCGGCCAAGCGTTTCCGTTCCCCTAACACTGGTAGTTAGGTTAATGGTTTCGCGCGTGGAATTTTTCGGGTTTTCTGCACGTCTTTAACGACTAAATAGAGTCCTCCCGGGAGGCATCTCCCTTAGGCAGATGGCTTAACTAACAAACAAAACAACACCTTAAATAATCATTTCAGTTTTAATATTTACTAAAATCATCCGGAACGATTGGCTGTCTGAGATGGTAAAGGCATGCTGTACCAAAGAACCCGCAAACGAGTTCTGGTCGAATTATTTGAAATTTTCAAGAAGGTCTGCACGGCTTCTTCTCTTATCGTTCGGTTGTCCCACTGTGGACTTGACCGAATCCACAATGAACATGTAAACTACTCTCAGTGTCCATAATGCCTATTGCGGTATCGAAGAATTTCGTCCTTTTTCTTTTGATACTCTTTTAATAAACTAAAATTTGGTTCATTGAAATATTTTTGTATAAATTTGAACTATCGTATTTCATAAAAAATGACGAAGAAAGTAATTCTTAGTACAGCAGTATGTAATGAAACAATTTAAAGTGATATACTTCAAGAGATGATAATTATATTTCACTACAACTATGTAAAAAACAGTGCAACAGTTTATATAATAATTATATTATTTATACAGTTTTTTAATAAACTTAATATAAATATTTTTTTCTGTTCAAAAACTAACTTTATATATTTTTTTTAAAATATTAATAATAATTCATAAATATAATTTTAAAAACATTTAATTTGGAAACATTTGTTGTTGTGATAGTTGGAAGGAAACATTGGCTAAAGATAGTATTTTTGTTGGTATTATTGATCAATGTAAAAACAATAAATCCAATATTAATAAGACAATCGTGCTACAAGGGAACTGGCTCCCTTCTTTGCAAGGAATGGTCTAGTGTTATTTGAATTTAACCTTTAACCTTAATTATCTTGCGATCTAAATTCAAATTCAATTTTAAGATTGCTGAATATATTGCACACATACCAGCACAGATTCTAAGGAATCATGCTTATATATGGCTCAAAAATAATCAGTTCAAGTTCGAAAAATTAAAAAATTCATCTATCAAAATAAATTAAGTCAACACTACCATGCTATAAAGGAAATAAAGGAATATTCCTTTCACCAGTATTCGAAAATATTAACCGACTAAATACATATAAACTTTAATTATCAATTATTCATTGTGACGATGTCACAATGTCCGGCTGCAATTTTTAATCATATTTTTAATTTTTTCTTTTTTTTTGAGTATATACTCTCCACCTCAAATTAGTAGTGGCTTGCCCCTGTACATCATACTTTTCCTTTAACAATAGAGTCCGTGCCAGTCATCTATCTAACACTTTTCAGGGAAAATGTTTGAATTGAAATGACATGACTTCCAGTTCGAATCGTAAGTTCGTATATCGTTAATCGGGACCTCCTGCCCCCAAGGTTTCCATATCTGGATGAATTAAACTGGATTTCAGTCTCGACTTTCAACTATCTAACTCCATTCTCAGATTAAGGAAACACGGACAGACAACGACAGTGGGAATTTATAGTTCTACAATTTTTTTTCAAATTTCAGCCCAAGAATAAAAAATAATAGCCTAATTAAAACAATTTCTGTTATAAAACATGCGATTTCTTATTTTTATTATTTAAACAGTTCTTTTTTTATCAAGTTACCAAATCGGCACTCTGTAATACTTTATTTTGGAACCAATGATTATCGAATAGTATCAATTTAATTATTTTCTTCATTAATTTAAATTAATATATGATTAAACCGCGCAAATTGAAATGAGAAATGAGAATCAAAAGAGATAGTTGGATGGAGAGAAGGCAATATGAAACACTTGAGCGATCTGCCAAGGGGTACAGTCGTCTGTAGAGCTGTTATACTAGGCTGACTATACGTACAGTTTTGGACGGGAATGTACTTTTTCTTTTACTCTGTCCGGCAGTGACTGCCGGATCATTGCATAGACAAATGAGACAAATGTCTAGGGCCCGGTTTTTAAAGGGTCCCAGTCAAACTGTCTATTTTGAAAAGATTTGTAAATAAGATAGTTTACTTTTCTGTTGGACAACTGTATAATACTGGTAAAACTGATAAAATATATTATTTAAATATTTGAGTCCTCCCTAAGTGAAATCAATAATTTTTCACAATTTTACTACTCCTCACCAGTAATATTTTGGTATGTGGGAAGCAGCTCGTCGCTCTACTGCCTCGGTTCTCACACACAAAGTTATCTATTGATTGCATAAATTTAAAATTCGGTACAGCACGCGCAATTCAAAGTGCCAATTGGCTAGAGTATGTTGAATGATTACTCCTCAACGGATTATTATTACTTTTCCAATCTAGGTGATAGCAGTATTGATGATAACCAGTCAAGTTGATAAACTCATCAATATTTATCACCGCGTTCCCTTTTTATGTCATTATTCATAATGACTAAGCATTATGTATAATGCCCAATTAATCACTTTGTCCATAACATATATACAGGGCGAATTTTTTAAATGAAAATTTGCCCTGTATAATAAAATTTTAAATGTAATCTCATAATTTTAAAATAAACGTATCGACAAAAGTTGTAGGGTGTCAAAGAAACCCCTTTCCTCCCATAACCCGAGATAACGCAGGCTGTGCGTGACGGTGCGCAGTCCATTTCGAGTTANGATAACGCAGGCTGTGCGTGACGGTGCGCAGTCCATTTCGAGTTATCTAGGGCATATGCTTTAAAAGCCTCAAAAAAGCCCTTGCCTTATAAATTTTCCAAAAATGTATGGATCAGCATATATACATCGTTATCTAACAACTCTGCAAATTTCATGATTTATATTTGCCGCGAAAAAAATTTATGACGATTTATTAATTAGGTAATTAACTGCGCTATTGTTTTTTATTATGCTTCTATTCGATTGATTTGAATTTAGTAAAAAATTTTTAAAACGCTATTAGATGTTTTTTATCACATCAGCATGTTTTTTTGTTTTTCATTCAATACATTTTTCTCCAAAACTATATTTTTTGGTCTCCTCATAATTTAATAGTGTAAAAATCGACAAAATTGTGTTATAATTGAACAAATGCAGTAAGTTAGCTTTCTTCTTACTTTAATTAAATTAATATTGCCTTGAGGCATACATCAGAACTACTCCAGAACGCTAACACCAGCTGTTCTCAAGGTCAACTAGTTTGTAAACAATGTAAACTGCACGTGTGATATTTCATGCCTTGTTAAATGAAAGAATAACAATCCTTGCAGCTATATTTTTCAAATAAAAGCATTTATATTTAATTATTTTTAAAGTTTTTATATAAAGTTTAATTAATTAAAGTGTTTATATACTTTTTGTGTAAAAACATTTTTCGCAAAAATTTTTATTTCGCAGAATTATTTCCCAACAATATTTTTGAATGTCAGATCAGATTCGCGTTTAAGTGGAAATAGTTATTTAATTAATATAAAAATCAATTTTTTTTATCAATTTCTGAGTCGCATTTGAAGCAGAACAAATGAGCTTAAAGAGTTAATGTTGAGAATAATTTTTATATAATTTTTTTGTGGTTATTATAAATTTTAAACGTTACTTTCTTGGATGTATATAATCGTGTAAAAGTTTATAATCGCAAATAAAATACCGGACTCTCATATGCATACGTTCGTTTCTACATTACTAATTTAATTTGTGAATATTTTTTTTATGTTAACATAAAATTTCTTCTTCCAAAATAGAGTAATTGTAATATGTTACTAATATAATATTATAACCAACTTTAGGTGAATTAATACCATGGACGAAGACTGTTTTTACTGTACTCTTTATCCATCGTGTAACATTTCTCTTCTTTTCGGAGATGTTGTGTTCGAGCGCTGTAAATGCCATCAACTAACTCCAATGCAATCCAAAATCATGTCTCTATACGCGAAATTAATTGAAACACTTATACTCGGTAATTTTTTACTAATTAGCATTAATTTCTTTTTAACCGAGAATAACATTATCGCATGTGGTTTTATGCATACAAGTAGAACAAGTAGAGATAATATTTTGTTTGGAAAAGGTATATTTGCATTCGGATCACTGATTCCTGGAATAACAGTTGAATATGGTAGACGAAGGAAAATCGTTATGGATCTTAGAAAATCAAGTTATTGTAAAGAAATAGAGAAATTGAAAAAATATCAATCATTAATATCTTATTTCCTTATCTTTTGCTACTGTATCGTATTAGGCACATTTGTTCTTGCCTACATTTTCTCTATCCCACATTTCCAAAATAAAATCTGCCTGGTATACTATAATGTATGCATGATGTTGCAATTGCCATTTATACATGTGGTTTCTATCTGTTTCTATGGTAATTGGATTTGCAGTTAAAAAAAGATTCGAATCATTGTCTGTCCAATTACAACGAGCAAATTCAATAGGGCTAAAAATAAATATTAACGAAATCATTTCTAAGCACCTGGAATTATGCGAATTCATTCAACAAATAAACGACAAATGGAACGAATGTATATTTTTTGAATATGGAATAATTTTGTCCTTTTTCTCCCTTCTCATATACAATACTGTATTTGGCAGTTTATATTTTAAAATGTCTGCATATATTATTATATGTGTTTGTACCATAATATTTATCAGTTTTGGCATTATATGGTCTTTTGCTGTTGCTCAATTGTGTGCATCGGTAAGTATAAATAATGTAAAATATTATCGTCTACTACTATTTGTTATAATTTGTTTTTGCTGTTCTAGGCTTGTAACGCACCGTTTTCG